TTTTTTTATATTTAAAAATCTGTCTGATACTAAAAATCCGTTGTATTGTAAAATTCGTTATATCAAAATTCGCTGTAGAAAGAGTTGACTATAATTTGGAATTGGATTTTGACAATGAGTTTTTTAAAAGTATGATTATGTTGATTCAAAAAAATAAAGTAAAACTCCATTCAGCTGTTATTAATACAATTTATCATGCTGATAGTGTTATTACTTTTGGTGAAGATATCATGATTTTACTTGAATTTTATGATGATAAGTCTGTTCCTAACCAAGATATATTAGAATACTTGAAATTACTTTTATCGGATGCAAAAAAAATTAAAACTGCATTTGAAGAAACCATCAGCAGATTTAGTTCTATCAAGGATAGTATGGAAACTCTTAGTAAAAAGTTAAATGATTATGATGTAAATAAAATGAGCGATATTGACATTGATGCTAAAATACACAAAAACTTAAAAAAAGCCAAACCAAATAATTTTTTATATGGAGCATCAGCAGCCGCTCTTGTTATAGGTGGGGTCTGCCTTTGCTTAAGTGGACCAATAGGAGTAGGAGTGGCAATAGCAGCGGGAGCTGCAGAATTAGAAGCGGCAGCTATTCTAACATCAGCGGCAGTTTCAGCAGTTTCAGCGACGTCAGTTGCAGCAGGGTCCGCAGGATTAGACTCAGAAAAAGCTAAAGCAAAAGCTTTACCTAATTTAGAACATACTTTAAAAAGAAACAAAATTAATTTACATTCTAAATTATCTAGTTTACGAAGCAACGTTTCCCCGATGATACTGGCATTGCAAAATATCAAATCTTTCTAGACGGAAATTGTTGGGGCGTTAGAACGAGAAATTACGAGTTTTGAAAGTTACCGTGAACATGGATTTCGCCCTAATATAATGAAATTTCGCAGCTTAAAAAAGCATTGAAAGAAACATATTGAAGACTATAAAGATTATTCTCGAGTTGTAGGAAAAGAATTAAAAAAATTAGAATATAGTTCTTAGGTTAAGCGAGATTATTATTTGCGTTTTAGTTATATGGCAACTTTTTTATTGTTCGTTTGTCGCTTTTAATAAAATTTATATTATATTTTGATACTCAAGAAATTACACGTACGCTTAAAGATTTATGAAAGGGTATATTACTTTAACTTAAACTTTATATACTAGAGCATCTATCGCCTTTTAAAATCATAAACATTTGTTTGAAAAGTCTTAAATCTGTTATTTTTATCCTATAGGATCATGCTGAGTTTGTTTGACCAATATTTTTTTTATGTTATACAACATTTTGCTATCCTTGAATATCAGTAGCTTATTTGCCAATAATGAAATTATTTTATTTTATCATTAGTACTGATTCGTTGCAATGTTTTATGTAAAATAATTGACTTTTTTTTAGTATGAACTCATTTGTAAAGAGACTATATAAACCAGCATAGCGGCAGTGTGTAAAATCTAAACCAAAAATCATGTGCACAATGTGCACATTTCTATGATATCATATGTGCGCAAAATAATTTTAATGTGCACAGATTTTTTCTAAAAATAACATATGCATAATATGTGCACTATTAAATAATTAAAAATATGTACACAAAATGTGTAAAGATAAAATTTAATGTGCATTAAATGTGCGCAATACCAAAATTATAATATTTTATTTACAAAAAAATAAAAAAATTCATTACAATTTATAATATTTACAAAAAATTAACTATCGATTAAACCTAGGAACTCCATTCCAAAAATCATATGCTTTTATATAATCATAATTACTAAAATCTTTAGGACCATTTAATGAAAGAAGTAAATGATAATTTAATGTCTGAATTGACATTTTGTTACACAATTTAGTCTTAATTAAATTTTGATGTGAGAATACACGTTCAACAATTCCATTTGATAATGGAATCACTAAAGCTAATTCAACAAATTTTGTTAAATTAGGAAACTGATCACAAAAACTAATATTATTATCAAAAATACGATACCATGCTTCAATAAATTGAAAATCTTTGTAATCACAAATAATATTGCGAACCATTCTCCATTCTCTAATTAGAGCATTTCTATCTAATACAGCTTCACACATAATATTTCTTTCATTTTTTTTAGTTTTTCCATAAAATTCTACTAAAGATTTGATTTCATTTTCTCCATAAGTACTTAATCTATCGCGATTATTAGGAGATTCACTTGGATCTAAATTCTCATTGAATAATATAAAGCAGAGTCCGGAAATCTATTTCTTAAACTTTTGACAGTTGCTTGTGCAAATTGATTAATAGTAACTATAAAATAAAAGAAAATAGAAAATCATTATATTATATAATAATAAAAACCAAAAT